AGACAAAAGCAGTAAGCAAAGAGCATTAAGTCTACGCATGGAACTGTTTTCAGTTGCTCTCTTTAGGCTGGTTTAAAGTGCTGGCACCGCTTTTGCGCTCTCTAGAGCACACACAGTCTCCTGATATCGCGGGCCTGGGCTGTTTACCTGCCTGGGATTTCTTTCCTTTAACCTTCACATCTGACTAAGTTTTAGTGATTTAAAATGCTGTTCTGGCCTATGTGGTTCTATAAGATTAGAAACAGTGTAGAAATAGGAGTTACATTCTGTTATTTTTAATGGAAAGCTCCTAAAAAAAAACAAAATCTAATCAGAACAATCCAAGTAGAGTAACTTCCTAGGCGGACTGCTCTTGACACAGAGAAGAGCAGGGCTTAATGGACTGAAGACCTGCGTAGTTCCACACGTTCCTGAACATTAGAAATCAGAAATCTGGGGATTCTGTTCTGTATTAATTTCTCATTGGCTCCGACCTTCAGTTCTGTCTTCACATGCCTTCAAACATGTTGAAAACTGTTTGATCCTTTTTCTAGAAAGAGCTCACCATCCATTTTAGCCGGTTTCATTGCTCATTTCAATCAGCCCTTCTGTATTCTGTGGGCTGAGGCTCTTTGTCTCTGCTGCTAATGCCACTAATACAACTTAAAGAAGTCTAGGGATGAGACAGTGGCAAGGATCTCTAAATAGCATCAGTAGAATTTGCATCCCAGGAGAGCCAGAACCCATCTGAAAGGAATGCGGCGGGTGGGCGGGGGGGTGGAACTAGCAACAATAAACTATCTTTTATCAGAGGAGGCTGAATTCATCACCATGAATTAACCATATTTCATGCCATATGCAGCAAAATCTCATTTTTCCAGACATCAAAACCATTTTAACAACACAAAGACACCACTGCTCCCTGCGCTAAGCCTTCTCTTGCTCTCTTGACCACCTGGGATCCACAGCCCTGTGAAATCCGACCTGGCTCACGTTCCAAAATACACCATAGCACTTTCTTACTTTGTGGTTTTTCTTTGGTGATTTTTTTTTTAAATTAGTAAGTCCTCGCAGGCAGAGTATTGGTCCTTATTTATTTCTTTATTATTTTTCACAGACTCTAACATAGTTCTAGGTGCTCTTGGCCATTCATTGACTTGAAAAAGTGCCAACAAGCTGCCAAACCCTTTGATGTTTCTAGCATAGCCCAGAGATGATAAACTGGGCCCAAGAAATCCTGATGGTGGACACAATTGTGCTAACTTTCAAGGAGGACTTTTGCAGTTGTATATGTAACTTCCATCCTGTCCTATAACACAGACTCTGCAGTTCAGTCTGTAAATAGCATCAAGTCCCCTGTCGTGACATCAGCCACAGGTTTTAGTAACCCCCAGCCACAGAAATACTTACCTGCACATGCTTGGCTTAACACATTCCCATGTTATATGCTCAATTTCTTTATGTCCTTTCTAGAGCTTCAACTTTTCTGCTATTTCTGGTGGGAGAGGTTGTTTTCCACTTTAACATCTTTGTAGGCTTTCTTCTTTCCTGATCTCAATATAAGCTCTGCTATTTGCTTCATAGTGAGATTAGTCATTTGCCATGTATCTTTCAGATTTGGAAATCAGTATGAAACCAATCAGATCAGTGATAACAATAGTGCCGGAATTTCTCTTGCCTAGCTGCTCTTAAACAGCAATGGAGTTGTTGACCACTTCAGTTCTAGAATTTGCAGGATTTCTCCCCGCTCCCCTTTCTGGAAGCTGCAACTGTTTATCACTTTTTTTCCTGCTGTAGTAAAAACCTTCTTCCATCAAGTCAGCACCAATCTTTGAGACACCTGAGGCCAGCCAAGTTGTCAGCCCCCGAGGCTGCTCTCAGCTTGGCTTTGCCAGGGACTTGCCTTTAGGGAGAAAGTCATCTTTCATGGAATTACTCAAAGCTCAAGGCAAGATTCAATTTTTCTCTTGAGAAGGTCCCATAGGAAGCACTAGCTTTAAGCAAAATCTTTATGAAAGGATTCCTTCTGTGCATTTTCCAAACAAGCCTCTTTGTCATTACCCCCAAGAGAGCCGACAACCATTTGGGAATCAAATCTCCCTTATCGTTTCCAGACTCCTGTACTTTGCTGGGAGCACCCCACTGGAGGGAGGGCCACAAATGCTTCCCTCCAGCATCACTCCAACCAGGACTTGGCTGTGCTGCAATGCCCTGGCCCTGTTCTGGCCTCCTACATGACAGGGAAGTCCCCCTTGGATTCCAAGAGAAAATTAAACTCCTTGGAATCCAAAGCTCATAAACTTTCACAGAGTGGCCCCAGGTAGATTGGTTATCACGATATTTCAGTCTCACTTAACCAATAAGAAGGCTGGTTGGCACGTTCCCAGGATGAATATTCTCATACGAGCATTGGATTAGAGGAAGCCAAAAGATTTTCCGCCATCTACATGCTCAACTTACACCCCACCTGGGTTCTGAGGTAGAGATCTTGTGACGGTTGGGGCCCTGCAGAGCAATTAAAAGAAATAAAGCAAAGTATTATATTTTAATTGATGTAATCTTCAAGCTCCCAGTGGAATCTGGGAGTGATATCTGACTAGAGTTACCCCAGGTATCAATAGATGACTATTCAGTGAAAGCGCATTTAGGAAGACAAAACCCCACGGATCCTGGACTTCATTAACATGTGTATCCGTTTGGGGAGGGGGGCACTGGCTCCAACTCCCAGGCCTAAAAATTGAAAGAAGCCACCTAGGCGTTGCTGGGATCTGAACAAAGAGTCGCGGGAATAGGGGGGAGAGCTGCAAACACAGAGGGCAGATGGAGGGGAAGGCACAAGGTGAGCTCCTAGTTTATTTGCTTTTGGAGGCTGGTGCCTGGATATTAGACACAGCGAAGCATACTATCCAAACCAAAACAGCTATCACCCATCACTAACATTTCAGGATTTGTTTCTGTTTTATTGTAAATATTCCAGTTGAAGAAAGATAAACAGACAAGAAAAAACTGCTTTTGTACAGTACACAGAGTCAGATAGAAAATACAGAATGGAAAAGAAAGCCAACAACCAATAGATAAAAAGTGGAGACAAACCAAGGAAGCTTGCAAGTTCCCACAGCGGCTGGAGGGAGGCGCAGCACCCACGTCTGCGGCTACGAGAAACTGCCTAGCACTGCCAATCTTATCTTTATTCCACAAGGTGAGGCAAACATCATTTATAAATGATGCATGGGGACATTTATTTCATTAATCCATTAAAAAAGTCTGCTATTGATCAAGATATCCTGCTCATAAAAATGCATGGTATTTTTTTTTTTTTTAAAAAAAACAACTCTTCCCAGCCCAGTGTGATCTGACAGAGGGACCACAGAGTCAGAGCAGGGGATGGCACTGCAGGACGCTGCAGCATGGCACCACTAGGGCCTGTGGGCAGTTGGCCTTCAGGTGCCCTTCCCACCAGTCCACGCTCTTCTCCACGGTGTTAGGCAAGGTTCAAAATGACATAAGTGTCCTGCACAGCTTACTGTCACTGCATGGTTACAGAAAAAAAAAAAATGACAAAATGATTCAACTTTATGAAAGGGCAGAGATCAGCTTAGGACAAAACTGGCATCCTGAATAGGAATAATCAAAGTAGCCCTGGGCCTCCAGGGTGACAGCCGTAACTAGAGGTCCTGGCCACTGAGGACGCTGAGCTGCTCGAACAGCGAAAGCAGGGAACTGAGCTCATCATCTCCAAAAATGTCTTTATTTTAGTACATTCAAAGCAGAAGCACTGTGCAGACAACTCCATTCAAGGTGGCGGCGGCAGCGGTGGAGGTGGTGGTGGTTTATTTCTCTCTCCTTCTGAGTTTTCTGTTTACAATCAGAAATTGCATAGAATTTGTTTTCCATCAGAAAAGGGCAAACTGCTGCGTGAAACTCCCACGTGGCAATGCCAGGCAAAGGTTAAGCAGCCATGGGCAGCCTCACCCCTCCCTTCAGGGGAGTGCGCTGGGTGCTGCAGACTTCTTCCAAGCAGTGAGCGGAATCCCAATAACCTGGCAGGCATCGGTGTATGGATCCCTATCCTACTCTGCACATAGAACAGAAGTCAGATGCTTTGTGCCTAAAGTCACATGAAGGGAGTGGGCGGCTGCTGCCCAAACCTGTGGTCAAGAATTCCTGCTTCCCAGGCTTGTGATTGGCTAAAGGACTCCATCTGTCCTCCAGAAACCTGGCAAATTCTTGTTTGCTTCAGTTCTTTTCATTTAACAAACACACACACACACACACACACACACACACACGCAAGCACGCATACGCACACACACGCAGGCAAGCAGGCACGCACACGCACATGCACACTTAGGCCTCACATCACAGTAGCAAGAAATCTCCCAACCCACGATAGCACTAAGGCTGGGGCGTCCTAGGCAGCTACTGAGTTTGGTTCAGAGAAGACGCAGCTGATAAAGTATGCACCATACCAACACGGTGGCCCTGCCCCTCCTCTGCAAGCAGCAGGGTGCAGCGAGCCAGGTGGATCCATCCCCACCCTCTCTGCTCCTGAACAGGGACAGGACGCTGTGTGCACTGTTTTCTTCCCTCATCTCTCCTCCGAGACCACATTCACAATGCAGCAGTGGTGGCAGTCAGAAAATAAAGAGGAAGAAAGGACAGATTAACCCTCGAAACCAAGACATTTCAAGGTCTGTCCAAGTAAAGTGGGGGCTAACTACTTTTTGGCATTTCAGATCCCTTGAAGGGACTGCCACAGACGCGCTCTGCTCCTCTCTCCAGACCTGGTCCTGCACTGCTCCTGCAGGCTGCTGCCCAACACTGTGAGCAGAGCTCAGCACCCGGAATCAGATGCAGCGGGGACTCCTGTACCAGAATCCAGGAGAAAGGGACAGGGCTTCTTTAGGATTCCATTCCCTAACCCAACATCTCCCTCCAAAAACTACAAAACAAGCAAATAGGACTGACAAGGGGACAAAAGAAGAAAAGGGGGGGGGAGAAAACAACATTAACAAAAATATACAAATCCAGAAAAGAAAAACTTCCCTGTTGAGTTTAATTTTTTTTTTTCCTGTAAGAACTAGACCCAGGGTACGAACAATGGCCCCTTCCTAGGGGTGTAAGTTCAGCTGATGAGTCCATCAATTCCTTGGACTGGTCTGGGCAGGGCCCCCCACCCCAGACTCTGTTATTTGGAAGGGAAAAGCCCACTGGGAGGAGATGGGTCCTGTGCCCACGAGAGACAGCATCCCTTTGCCACCTGGGTGCAACCTCTGGGATGGCCCCAATCCCAGACCGAGCACTGTGTGTCTCTGGCTGGGGCGTCAGGCTCTTGGACCGCCTTTCGTAAAGTGACTGAATCCCAAAACCGGAGAGAAGCATGGCTGCTGACAAGTCCGGGCTCCCCAAGACAGAGACGCCGGCCCGCCCTCCCACCTCCCCACCTGGCTCCGAGTCGGTGGCCACCTCTACTCCGGCTCGCTGCTGTTGGTTGTCTTCTCCCACTCCAGGCTCTCTTCGCTTCGGGCCGGGGACGGTCGTGCTCGAAGGCCCTGAAAGCGGCGACACTCAGGGCAGACACGGATGTGCGTGCACCCGCGGGCCACCAGGGCTGCCTCCTGGGCCAGTCTCTGCGCCAGCTGGTCCGGCTCCCCAGCCCCACACAGCTTCCCATTGCTGAGTGTCACGGTGCCCCGAGGCCTCCGCTCCTCAGGGATGGGTGGCCGGGGCTGTGGGACCCCAGCGCGCCGCCGGCGAGGGTGGATACTGTCCTGACACAGGATGATGCTGCGCAGCTCGGTCACCATCTCCTGGCAGACGGACACCTGGAGGAGACAGGGAGGTCACAGCCAACCCCTCAGCGCCAACCCTAGGAGACCTGTGGGTCTGCAGGGATGGGGGCTGAGGCCAGGGCTAAAGGGTCACCCACTTAGGTATGGGGGCCTTTCAGTCCAGCACCTCTCCCAATCCCGCTTATTGTTCAAAGCTCTGCCACCAGGTTTTCCACTCTTCCAACGTCATCTAAGACAATAACTTCACCATCTGGAGCAAGAACTTGCACCACTTCTCCATATACCCATTACTGCTGGCTTCCTTCTACTGCGTGAATTTCTATCCCTGAAATTTTCATACCCTAATCCTACTTAAATCTGGATTTTGATGACAAACAAACACCCTCTACCACCTCAGTCACTCAAGTCTCTACCGTGTCCCCATGAGTTCTGTTCTCAGGCTGAAGATTCTCATTCCCTTTTAATTAACTAGTTATGGCTGGAAATTATACATTCTGATAATAATAAACCAAGAGCAATCATTGTTACTAGAGACCCATAATCTCCTAATACAAAACACTGGGCTCCAGCTGTTTCAAAATCAGGAATACATTGGATTTTTGAGGAAGGTAATACAATCTACAAATCATATACAATAGGAATAGGACACTCTCCATGCAAATACATTAATATTTTCGTAGCAAAATGTAAGTATGATCACACCGAGTGAGATAAAGACCATAAATGTTAGCTAAGTCAAGGTTTGCCACTGAATGTATTTGTGTCCAATTTAATATATAAAGAACTTGGTACTTTCTAAGCTTTTGGGGTTTAAGAATTATGGATGTAGAAGGCCAGCCAAATAGCTCAGTGAATTAAAGCGCCTGCAAGCAGGCACAAGGGCTGGGGGTTCGATCCCCAGGCTTGCCATGTCAGCCCCACCCTCGGTGCACGCTGAGACCGTGATTGAGACTGGGCGTGGTGGCACACGCCTGTAATCCTAGCACTTGGGAGGCTGTAAACAGGAAGATCACTACTATGAGTCCAATCTAGTAGTGAGACCCTAAACACCCTGTAGACCCTTCCCTAAAATACAGGAAAAAAAA